CCATCCAGACAAACACGGCCCATACCCAGTTGACACCTTCTGGCGATCCTGGCGCGACGAAGTCCTGAGCATCGCCCAAGAACACTGCCAAGTTACTCACACTCACCCCCCTTGGGACAGGAAGAACGTGCCAGCACGACCATGGATATCAAAGGGCCTCTTGAAAGAGATCAAGGATAAGCACAGAAAACACAGAATATACCTCCACTCACGGTTGCCCGACGACTGGAACACGTTCACGGCCCAAAGAAACCGTGCCACCACCCTCCTGCGTCGTGCAAAATCGGATTTCGTAAACAACTCAACAGCCTCCTCTACTTCCCTACACCGCCTCATGAAGCACCTTACTACAGCTACAAAACAACGCATACCCGAACTCGTCAGCCAAGCAACTCCTGCAACGACACCAGCACAAAAAGCCGCTGCCCCCAACAAATTCTTTATTTCACAGAGCAAGCTGTCCGTGGCCAATGCGGATGAGCAAACTCCAGCCATCAACACCACCCCTGACATCCTCAGTCCCCTTCAAGAAATCTCGACTTCCCAAGCTGGGGTCGAAAAACTCCTCCGCGGAGTTGTAACCAATAAAAGCCCCGGGTTCGACTCTATTCCAAACCGCCTACTCAAAGAAGGGGCTAAGGAACTTGCACATTCGTTATCGTCCCTTTTTAATCTATCGTTCCAAACCGGAGAAATCCCACAGGAGTGGAAAGATGCCACCATTACTCCAGTACCCAAGCCCGGTGACCCAACCCAACCGACAAATTACAGACCCATCTCTCTCTTGAGCACTACATCAAAAATCCAAGAAAAATTGCACATCAACTCCTCTTCAAGCACATCACACCCCTCCTGCCCAACCAGCAGTCCGGATTCCGTGAGAAAGACGGCACTGAGCAGCAACTCGCCCGTATCGTCCATACCCTAACCACTGCGAGAGACGACGGGAAACACGTCAATGCCTGCTTTTTCGATCTAAGCAAGGCCTTCGATCGTGTGTGGCATGCAGGCCTTCTAGCAAAACTCTCCCACTATGGTGTCCAGGTCAACGCCCTGGAGTGGTTCCGACGGTACCTGTTGGGGCGTCGGCAAAGGGTCCAGGTGGATGGCGACCTATCGCCTTTCCTCAAGATCCCTGCCGGCGTCCCTCAGGGATTCGTTCTTGGGCCGCTTCTATTCCTCGTCTACACCATAGACCTTCCACACGCATGTGAGAATCCCGACACCACCTGTAGCCAATTTGCAGATGACACCGTTCTGATTTCCATAGCGCGAACTCTTCAAGACTGCACCCGAAACCTACAACAGAGTGTCACAGCAGCTGGAGACTGGCTTCAAAGATGACACCTGCTGGTTAACACAAAGAAAACAGTCATCCTCCCGTTCTACCACAATAACCGCCCCCCTGAACAGCTACCCCAGATCACCCTCAGGAATAGTCCGCTTACCGTAGCACAAAAACACAAACACCTCGGAATAATCTTTCAGCATGACCTCCGTTGGACGGAGCATGTTGAATACATAGTCAAAAAATCCCTCAAGTCTTTCAATATTCTTTTTAGACTAAGGTCTACACTCACCAGTGATTCTTTATCTCACATCTATCAGACATACATACTACCTATATTCTCATAATATGCGAGCAATGCTCTCACACCGATGTCCCGCACTTCCCTTGACAGGCTAGAACGACTCCAGTGGAAAGCCGCCAGAATATGTGTCCACCTTCCCCTTTACACACACTTACAGCACTCCCACTTTTTGCATCGCATCAAATGGCCAACATTATTTTCACGCTTTAAAGTTAAACATATACTCTTCGCGCATTCTCTGCGCCACAATTATGCCCCACCACATATACTCTCGCTGCATACTGCTAGCAACGTGCAACCTTCGTATAATTTACGTCGCTCTCGTACTTGGCACTTGCCAACCCCGGGGACTGACCGCTGTCTCCATTCTCCACTGTACAAGGCCCTTCATTACTTTAATTGCCTGCCCACCCAGCTTCGCGAAATCCCTTCTCGTACTCCCTTCAAATCCGAGATATCCCTGCTGTTGCACAACTCTGTATGCTCGTGTAGCGACCACCCCTGCCCGTACACTGAAGTAGTCATTAACCCATAGGCCCTGCCCACCCAACTCTTCCTCACTCTTTCTCCTTTCTTACATTATTATCTCTTATTGGCCACTGGCTATCGTGAGAATAAAGATTTGAAACAACAACAACAATAATGTCTGCATTCTTTGTTGCCATGGGACTTAGCTGGTGCACAGTTCAGCTGCGTTCGCCTTCCCCTCGTTGGTCCTACCCAATCTTGAACGTTCCAAGTTGGAAGGCTGGTGGTTTGCGCACTGGAGATGTGTTAGAGCTAGGTCTTAGGTCGCTGAATTTCTCTGTAGCCTGTCATTTTGGGCCCTGGTATTGCACATACTGATTGCTTGTTATTTTCTTACATCCGTTGATTATATTAATAAAAATAATACTTTAATAACGAAGGTATGTGTTGGGTCGTAAGTATCCACGCAAACACACATCCAGTCAAAATAAGGCACTTGTCAAAGTATCCGAACGTTTTCGGTCCCTTCTCATCAAGGATTATACAGGGAATGGCTCAAGTTGGAAAGACTAAAACTTATATAGCGTAAAGATATGAGATAGCAACACTCGTGACAAGGTGGAAAATTATCAAGTTCAGCACGACACAAAACTCGAAGGAAATAATAATAGTGACAAGAACATAGTGAGCAAATTAAGTTACATTGTTAACACCTCGTCGAGGAGTAACACCAAACAATTGTAGCGACAACACATTTTCTTTCTGTACGCAAAGTTCAGGATCTAACTTACGGATATACAAAGCTTCTAACACAGCCAGATGCAACGCACATCTACCACGTTTTAGTCTTTCCAACTTGAGCCATTCCCTGTATAATCCTCGATGAGAAGGGACCGAAAACGTTCGGATACTTTGACAAGTGCCTTATTTTGACTGGATGTGTGTTTGCGTGGATACTTACGACCCAACACGTACCTTCGTTATTAAAGTATTATCAGCCTCCGACTTCTTGTAAAAAAATAATACTAATACCAAGAATTCTCATCTACGTTGCAAATGGAACTCACGACGATTGAGGAACAAAAAGCACCGAGGCAGAGAGTGAAAAGAAAAGAAATAATATGTATTCCCGTAGCTATGCAGAAGACATTACCTCAGTAACGTCTGGCACTAGCCAGGGTCCACACAGCTTTAATTTGGTGTTTGTTTGTTTGTTTGAGTGTTTGTGTGTTTGTGTCACGCCTGGCGCTATCCCGTATCTGTCCCGCACCGTAACGTACCATCAAACACAGCTGGCCACATACAGCTGGCCGCAATATTCAACACATAGGGCTTTCGAACGCAAGATCATAACGTGAAGCAACTTGGAAGAATGAGTATGAATGCGAAGTGTATGGGGGAATGCATGTAGGGCGATAATGCGGGTTCGAATCCCAGGTAACGCCTGAAAAAAGGGAGAATTGAAAAATTTATAATATCCATTTTCTTTTTTTGCCGTCATCAAGGCGGTAGACGGTATCGTATTACCGTCGACCGTACCTGTCCCGTTCCTGTCCCGTACCCGTCCCGTACCTATCCCGTACCGTACCATCACAGACGGCTGGCCACAATGCATTATAAAATAGGGCTTTCAAATACAAGACCATAACGTGAAGCAACTTGGAAGAATTAGTATGTATGCGAAGTGTATCGGGGGATGCCTGCAGGGCGATAGTGCGGGTACGAATCCCAGGTTATGTCTAAAAACACAAGAAGTAGAAACTTATAAGAATTTATAACATCCCAATATTTTTTTCTAGGTCATCAAGGCAAAAAAGCATAGCGTAGGGCCCTGAGCTTCCAAGCTCTCTCGTTAACGAAAACAATCGCGGTGTAGATTTCACATGAGTTCCAATACACCGCATCAGCCAAGCTCTTTCTTAAAAAGAAATATACATGCATACATCACAGCCAGTTACATTCGTGCATAGTTGCTTCATAACTCGTTCCCATGTGTTTTCTTCCTCTACTAACATTTAAATAATAATTATTAATTGATGATACTGTAGAGGCAGAAAATTTCGTCGGTCAATAATTTCGTCCAACTCCAAAGAAAAGGAGTTCGTCCGGTTGAAAATTTCGTCCATGGATCATAAGAGTGTATAGAACAGCTGGACAAATTGATATTCGTCCTACATTTAATTTAGTCCAAAATCTCCTTGGACGAAAAAGACGAAATTAAATTCCAGACGAATATTTCTGCTTAGGCTGTGTTTACATGAGGCGTTTCAACCCGGGTTGAGTTCGACCCGGGTCAGATTTCAACCCGCCATGTGCACAAAGTGAATGGCGCGTTTACATGACGCATTGCGCTTGGCCCGGGTTGAAATTTCGCCCCGGGTTGATTTCAACCCTCCCCCCAAGGGGAGGGTTGAAATCAACCCGGGTCAAGAAAATCGTACAAACGTACTTCTGTGCGTATCTCGCGCCAGGTTTGAACGGCACTGCAGATGCAAATTTCGCGCGAACAGATTCACGTGACCATACAGGACTGTAGAAGTGGACTTTTGGCGGCATATCAGTATTTGACCCGGGTCAACTGTCTTCATGTAAACGCTCACCTCTTTTGTCTATCGTACAGACTTTCAACCCGGGCTGAACTCGACCCGGGTTGAAACTTCTCATGTAAACACAGCCTTATACAGTATGCCAAATAACGTGCAACTATTTGTAGACTTGAGAGGGCATTGCAGAGTAGTTGCATACAAAGTTCAAAGTTGTACGGTTACCTGTGACTTGTGCTCCTGCAGAGTTCAGGGTCTACCGTGTACACATTGTAGTATAATTTGTATGCAACTTGTGTGCGATGCCCTCTCAAGCCTAGTTGCACGTTATTTGGCATATCTATTTGAAATCACCACACAAGGCTCTTCAGGCTTGTAACAACCGACATGGACCTACCTGTAGAGCTGCTCAAAGTGGCCATGTTGGTATCGTTTAATGTGAAAGAACCTCGAGAATGATGAAGAAACCCTGAGGCAATCCAGAAATCGCACATGGATGTAAAGAGTACACCCATGCACACATGGGCACAAATACACACATGCACCCAGCAACCCGCACAAATACACAAATACACACATGCACCCAGAAACCCGCACACCCACACAAATACACACATGCACACACACATACTTGGTCCGGCTCATCCCAATTGTCGCTTATCTCCCACGTACTTTTTGACAGGTAAAACCCAGTCCAATCACGATAGCTAACTTACTTTTGCTTGGGAGGTTGTGATGGCAAGATCAAAGGAGGCACCAAAGAAAAATGATCGGGACTAGCGCTTTGAATCGCGATGTGTTCGACTTTTTTGGGAAGTGGGAATCTGGCCATTCACTGTCTGTGTTGCCAAAAGCCAAGCGCAGCGACCCAAAGACTGGAGCTGTGGAAGGCAAACTGACATCCTGGGGAGCGTGACAGGCACGTGTGCACGGCAGAGGAGTATGAGCCGCATGAGCGTCATGCTGAAGAAGAAAGGTGTTTTCGATGCGATGCGCCTGGCGGACGGTTGTTGTTCCTTGCTTGGTGGACTAGCAGCAGCATTACAAGTATCGTGGTCAGTGTATCCAGCAGAGCGTTTGACAGCTGTCTGGAGAGGCCTGTATGCCTCGAAGGCTTTGTTGAACACACTGTGGCGACACCCGAGTCACATTGCCCACGGTTCCTTCAAGCACCGAAGTGACAGCCACAACTGTTCCTTCCCCATTGCTGCCATACGGCAGCCCAAGAAAGCAAGAGATACTCCAGTCTACACCAGCAGGTAGACACCAGCAAATGTCAGCTCATGTAACGGCGCGGCAGCTCTAGTGATGCAGAGTTGAATAAACTCTGGACCTGTAAAAGTGTGAGTGCAAGAACGAGCTCCTTCGCGGATTTATTTCGTGTATTATGCTTTCCTAGCTTCCTTTCTTCGACTCGCTTCACCTGATTCTATTGCTGAAATTTTTTTCTTATGGCGGAGAGTATTCTTGTATCATTCATGCTTCCTCACTATGCCTACTGGAAATTGCACAGGGCGGTAAAAAAACTCCTGTTCTAAGTGGCGATAGATAAGCGACAATTGCGATGAGCCGGACCAAGTACACACCCATGCACACATACATGTACAAACATGCACACACACACACACACACACACACACACACACACACACACACACACACACACACACGCACACACATACACACACACAAACACACATACGCGTACTTGCCACGTGTGTCTCTTTGAAAGGGGAGGGAGATACTCAAAAGAAATCTTGCAAAAATGAAGCGATGTGCTATCGAATGGCCAGATTAAATGATGGCTATCAACAAGATGAACTATGCCGTCATTGCAATACAGTGAATGCACACATGTCAACTTATAGGTAACCGGATTGCATTCTTTTGTAAGGCCGTCACAGATAAGCGACAATTGCGATGAGCCGGACCAAGTACACACACATGCACACATACATGTACCCCACTTTTTCGGCCGTTTTTTTTTTTGGACCACATCACAACAAAGCACAATGATCGCAGCTTAGCGCAAACGTGACAAATCCTTGTCCCCAATGGTGGTTTGTTCCAAAAAAAGTCTTTCATACTGAAATGGCACCAAATGCCTGGAAATGCTTGCAATTGGCTTCAATTTTTGAATTTTTTTCCCGGCGGAGGGTAATGTTTGTCCCTGATCGTAGCGTCTTCTTCGTTTGTTGCAGAATCAAAAAGACGTTCATTGTAGTTACCGTACACTGAAATGGCACCAAATACCCGGAAATGCTTGCAATTGGCTTCATATTTTGAAATTTTTTCCCCGCGGGAGGACCCCTGGACCCCCTTCCATGGCCGGCCCACCTCCAAAGTCGGTGCGACGGGCCTGTTTTGACTTTCTTCAGAAGCGATCGTCATTCAAGGGATTAGGAAAAAACAAAGAAAATTAACCCCACGCTGATGCGATAATGGCTAAACATAATTAGGGTTTTAGTGTCGCAGTAATGTAGTTAGTAGGGACCCTTAGCATTTGCTACGAATCAAATGCAAAACGAAAGTTTGATTCGGTTCGTAATCGTGTCGTTGAAAATAGATTCAGGTTTCGCAAGTCGTCATGCAAATGTGCATGACAACTACGAATACGGCCGGTAGCTTGGCGTACGGGTTTTTACACGCACACGTGCATGGATCATGGAATCAAGGGAAAAATGTGTACCTGGCAAAACATGTGTACCTATCCAAATAAATGGGTACCTGACGGATTCGGAGTGCGCCACGAATGAAGAGGCTTCCATTCGTGAAAACGAGTTCTCCGCAGGGACTCTGACAAATCATTGAACCCAGGTGACGAATCAGCATACGTTTCGTATCCGTACGCGTGGTGTGAAAGGTCCCTACTTTGTGTTAGCATCCACCGATCCCACTGCCATGTTTGCATCTGCCACACACCGCTGCATCAGTGCATTGCGCACTGCACTCACACTGCCAGCATATAGATTTGGGCACGCTTAGCCTTACGTCACACAACTGCTTCCTTTGAACTTTTGCTCACTGCACTCAAACTGCCAGCGCATGGATCTGGGCGCGATTAGCCTGCCGTCACACAACTGCTTCCTTTGAACTTTCTCTTTCTTTCTTGCTGTTGCCTTCACTTCAAAATCTAATTAGCGGTGACTTTTAGCTTGTGCCAGCATCAAATTTTCACCCTCCATCCCTCCTATCCTCTCATCTTGCTAATGGTACTAGGGAACATTTAGCTCTATCGCTCCTAACTGATCATTTGCTTTGCTAGTTGCGGCTCTTCACGAGCCACTTGTTGTCAATTGCATTGGCGTTGCCTTGCAACCCCATTGTGGCACAATGTGGGTTTATTGCGGCTCCTCGCGAGCCAGTTGCTGCCAGTGGCCTGGAATTGCTTTCCAGCTCTTCGAGCTTTTGCATTACAAGACCAGTTACTCGAAGCAGCACACTATCTCCAAAAACTTCCTTCTTGCCTTGGGCTGAGTATGAGTATGTGAGGGATATGGTGCTAACCAGGTGGCGGGCATTGAAAACAGTTACCCCGTATCCTACTCGTTCACTTTCAAATATTATTTTACCGCGCTAAATGCCACTTATGGGGCGAATCCCCGACTTCACTTCGGACAAATGTGCCTTAATGAAACATCTAATAGTGACTTTTGAGTGCATTTTCGTTGAATTGCATAAAAAACACTAAAATCGGAAAAATGAGCAGGGCGGCAATTTTTCAAGGGGGGGACAAACAGATTGGGGGGGGGGGGGGTGCTGCGTCTCCCTACCCCCCCCCCCCTTCCCCTCTTTGGCTAAAACCCTGATAACACCTAGGCCAGGATATGGCCCCTGAGGTAGATCCACGCCCAGTGGTTCTGGGCGATGTTCCTCAGCGCCCTAAGCAATTGATTCGTTTATTAAAATTACAAGTGTTCTTATCCGTGTGCAGAGATAACCCGTGTGCAGAGATAACCCGTGTGCAGAGATAACCCGTGTGCAGAGATAACCCGTGTGCAGAGATAACCCGTGTGCAGAGATAACCCCTCTGGCATCAACCTTACTTAGTACTTGACCAGAGATTTGGTTATTAATAGTTACATTGGATCGTATAAACTGTACTGGGAAAGTCAGCAAAACAAAAACCGAAAGAAATGATCATACATTCCACTCGCTGTCTGCATAAAATTGATAAGTTGTGGAAGTGCCTTCCCCCAAGGCTGACTTCCCAATATTCGCTTTCTAAATTTCAACAGCAATTTCGCTTGCGCGTGAAAAGTTTTAAATTACACTGTAGTGGTATATTTACAATTAAATAATGCGACAGAGCTATCGGCCATACTGAAATGTGTTACATTCTCAGCCCGTCACCGCAAATGCTCGTTCGTTCGTGAAGCACATACTCGTAAAATAATTTGTTCAAGAAAAGAGGAGGGATTGACATCACTGCAAATTTGCCTTGGTGATGCGGTAATACAGCCTGAACTGGTGTGACATGAGTCAAAGAGTCAAGCCTAGTTCAAATTCGCCTGGGGCATGATGCAAGGATTGACGCGAAGCGACAGGACGGTCTGACGACGTCCAATGTGAACACCAGGAACGGGAATGCAGCCGTACTTCCGTACAGATCGCGTAGTGACAGGAATAGTCGGATCAGTTCAACTTTTCATAACGTAGACGGGAATAGCCGGAACACAAGCGCACAAAACAGCTGAATTTTGAGTGTAAACAGGAGACGGCATTGTGCGCCGACTACGCGCGATTCATACTTGGAATTGTTTAGCACTTTGAAGTTTGCGCTTCCCATGATAACTCGCAGAATGGCTAACACAACATGGGTTGAATTTTAGTAATAATAATAAGAAGTTGTGATGTCACTTATGGTATCTTAGGGATAGTTCAGAAGCATGACAAACGGACTATTGTACCATTTCCAGGGATGATTCGAATGGCACAACTTTCAAGGCTACTTTTTTGTCTTCAGGAAAAACTGGTACAGTCAAACCTCGCCTATCCGGTCCTCTTTCATCCAGATCTCTCGCCATCCGGAAGAAAATCGTTGGTTACCAATTTACAGCATGTGTCATGCATACCTGCATTAGTTGTGTTTGAGTATCCGGTTCCCTCGCCTACCTGGATTTTTTTTTGGAAAACGGATGTGTGTGGTTAAGTGAGGTCTGGCTTTTTTGTTAATTTGATTCCGCTAGCTTGTATTTCGCGTTGTACAACCATTTATGCCACCATATATAGGGATATCAGCGAACGCACATGCGCAGCCCATCTGCGCAGGTCAGCCTGGCCCATCTACGCGTGGCCGACAAGAAAACTCATGAACACTTACATTTTTTTGCAAAATAAATCGTGCGAAGAAGATGCACGGATTGGCTGAAAACTAGGCTGAGGAAAAGTAGCATCCAGAGACTCTCAAACAAATTCATGGTCC